GAAATTGATGTGGAAATATGAAAAAAGTGGTCTTTTTTAATAAGAATTCAGAGTAAAGAAGAACATTTTTAAATTCAAGGTGAACATTAAAGAATTGTAAGTTCTTAAAATTCAATGCTTATAAAAAACAATTAAAAAATTTTTTGGAAATAATTGATATCTTTCGAAGAATTTTAATAAAACTTTTAAAACTAATTACATTTTTCCCCAGAGATACATTTGAAATTATATTAAAAATATTTTTAATCCTGCAAAGAATTTCATTATTTACGAATATAATTAAATTCCAGTAAAAATTTTATTTGTAAAAATAATTGAATTTTAGCGATGGATTTTTTTATTTGAAAATAATTTAATTCTTATAAACAAATGTTATCAAAATTTTAGAAAATAATTTATTTATTTCTATAAATAATGGAATTGTTTAAAAAGAATTTAAAAAAAAAAAATTCTGAATTGTTTCTAAGAAGACTTTTAATTAAATTTTTGATAATAATTTTTTTATTTCAACTATCAACGGATTTAAAGTAGTCCAAATTTTGAAAAATGGAAAAAAGTAGCTTTTAGTGTTACAAATTAAAAAAAAATTTTCTTAAACAAACTTTTATAGTTTGTACTTAAGTAGTAAAAGTAGATTTCAGTCAGACACACAATTTTCATTTTTGCGTAAGTAGAAAAAGTAGAGTTTATCCAGACAAATTTTAGCAGTTTTTATTTAAGTAGTGGAATTAAATTTAAGTCAGGCAAACCTTTGTAGTTAGCTCGGTGAAACAAGCGACCCGCCGGCCGCCAGCCATCAGAAGAATCCAAAGGCGCCGACACACATAGTAGCGCGGTAGCCCTATACGGTTCAATCAACGCAAAAACAACGTACGCTAGCTACTACAGTTTATAGAAAAAATTACAATAGTCACATTTTAAAGAGCAATAATCACTTTTTAATTTGTGACCAAGAAATAAAAATTTGGTCTAAAATTGAATAATTTTTCCCTTAAATAATTTTCGACCAAATTTTTGTTTCTTGGTCGCAAATTAAAGAGGGATTAATGCTTCATGTCACTGGACCAATAAGAATATGTTTAGAAAATTTTTGATAGCCAGCGTCCCCACCCGCCCGAATCAGAAAAACGAAAATTTGAAATAAGTTCAAAAAAAATTCATAACTCGAACAATTTTCGACCAAATTCTTGTTTCTTGGTCGCAAATTAAAGAAGGATTAACGCTTCTTGTCACTGGACCAATAAGTATATGTTTAAAAAATTTTTGATAGCCAGCGTCCTCACCCGCCTGTATCAGAAAAACGAAAATTGAAAAAAAAGTTTAAAAAAAATTCATAACTTGAACAATTTTAGACCAAATTTTTTTTTCTTGTTTACAAATTAAAGGGGGATTATTGCTTTTTAAAATGTGACTATTGTAATTTTTTCTATAAACTGTAGTGGCTAGCGTACGTTGTTTTTGCGTTGATTGAACCGTATAGGGCCACCGCCCTACTATGTGTGTCGGCGCCTTTTGATTTTTCTGATGGCTGGCGGCCTGCGTGTCGCTAGTTGCACCGAGCCAATAAACATCTAAGGAACAATAGGAAACAACAAAATCAATTGTTTATTAACAATTGAATTTTTTAAAGCTCTGAGCTTCACAAAACTCGAAAATTCGATTGTCTGCTAATTGGCGGATGGAGTATTTTGACTAGTAATTTTGCCATAATTATTTTACTAAAGGAAATTGTTGTTGCCTTTTGTTCGTAGAATATTTGTATTCAACTCTATAGTGAAAGAAATTATCGCGAAAAAGAAAGAATGAAGAATTGATCATTTCGAATTATTTTGTTGCGACGCCCATGGATTTGTCAGGTGTCTGGCGGATGGCGGGTCGCTAGCTTCACGGCACCTTTGTAGTTTTTATTTAAGTAGTTAAAGTATAGTTTAGTCAGACGGACACTTTTTGTTTTTGTATAAGTAGTAAAAGTAGATTTTAATCAGGTGAATGTTTTTTCCTTTTTGTATAAACTATAAGTAGGGTAACTGTACCAATTGTCGAGGGTTTTAGGCAACATGCGACTTTGACATTTTTTTTCTCGGAAGTAAATGCACTTTAAAATTTGATTTTTGTATATTTGGACGAAGGATCTAATAATGTTTAATATTCATATTTATTTTTTTAATATAAACTAAATTGTTAAGCAAAAAATATATTTAAAAGTCAATCGAGCAAAAGCACCATTTGTCGATGGTCTTGTGCTAATTTCTCGAGGGTCTGTTCCAATTGTCGAGGGTATGACATTTTTAAACATATAACCCAATATAACCTAACAATTAACCTGTACAGATATTAGAAAATCGAGTAGATATTTATTTTTTCGATAAAAATATTATAGAACATTACCAGAAAACAAATATATTTATTTAACTATAATTGAATAATTTATAATATCGATATAAAACATTTTTATAGTAGATGATACAGGACAGAAAATTATTTAACTGTTTTTTAAACTTTTATAAATATAAGTTAATTAAATTTAATCAATTTTGTTAATCAGACATTAATTTAAAAAATAAATTAATTTAAGTCACATTAAATTTTTAAACGAATAAAATAAACTTTTATTACGAACTGTAAATATAATGGTTAATTATAATTAAACTATAGTACAAAATTTTTTAGTTTTAAATAATGCATTTTTTTATTAATTTTTTTTCGGTCTTCCTCGTTTTTTTGGTTGATTATTTTCTGTTGGTTGTAAATTTTTGGAGCATTTTTTTTCTTTTTCTCTGTACCTATAAATGTTTGGCATTTATGTTTGACGTTTAGTAAATAAACACTTAACCATCGATAAATGGTGCATCAGCGAAAAAAGTGACTACACCAATTTTCGAGTCATTACCTCGAAAAATGGAACTGTCAAAAATAAGGAACCAAATACCGATGATTTGCTTTTAAAAAATATTAAATATTTTTTTTTAACAAAAAAACATGCATACAAAATTAATTTAGTTCGTGTACAAAATTATAATAATAATTTTGTACACAAAAAGTCATTATAAATACGTTTAATTTGCATTTCTAAAAATCTGTTTTAATCAACCTGAAGTATTAAGAAAATGGAGATTCGTGTAAATTTCACAGCAGTGAATTATAATATTAATTAAATAATTATTTTAGTAGAATCGCTACGAAATTTGTACATATAAATATACAGTTGAAAATACAAAGATTATTTAGAAATTTTTTTTGTTCTTAAATATTATATATTATACTATTTATCTAAAAAAGAAAATTATTATCCTCGACAATTGGAGCACCCTCGGCAATTGGTGCAGTTACCCTAGTAAAAGTAAATTTTAGTAAGACAAACTTTACTAGTTATTATTTAAGTAGTAAAATTAATTTTGAGCCAGGTAACCCTTTGTAGTTTTTATTTAAGTAGTAAAAGTAGAGTTTAGTCAGACAAACTTTCATATTTTTTTATTTAAGTAGAATAATTTAATTTATGTTAGGCAAACCTTTGTATTTTGTATTTAAGTAGTAAAAGTAAATTTAAGTCAGACGAACATTTTTCGTTTCTGTATAAGTAGCAAAAGTAAATGTAAGTCAGACTGACATTTTTTGTTTTTGTATAAGTAGTAAAAGTAAATTTAGGTCAGACTGACATTTTTCGTTTTTGTATAAGTAGTAAAAGTAAATTTTAGTCAATGGATGGACAAAAGTCTGATTTGTTAAATAGTAAAAAATCCAAATAGTAGCTAGTCGTATAAAAAGTAGTAAATAGTAGGTTTTAGAAGATCAGTGCGAAGCCTGGGAGTATTTCCAGTGACTAAAACTTATTTATTTAAGAACCAGCGATTACAAAAATTTAGTAAAAAAAATTGTTATCCATGAAATTAGTATTGACAATAAAGTTGGTAAAATCGATTAAATTTGGAATTATGTTGAGAAATGGGTGAGAGAGGCTGGAAAGAGTGAGTGAGTGAGTGAGTGAGAGAGTGAGTGGAGTTAATAATCCCTCGGGTTAATTTGTTCAACAGAAGTGTTGAGAAAGTTAGCATTATTTGAGTTTCTAGCAGTTCATTGTTCTGAAGTTTAGTGAAAAGTCTTTTTTTCGTTGTTTGCCATAAAGTGGTGCCAACTTTCCAGGGGTAGCTGAGTTGCTTTAGGGGACATTCGACCGTTACCACCGGAAAGAACTATGGTCTATTATGGCACTGCACAACGATTCTCCTGCATTCTTTTGTCTTCCTCTTTTTTAAAAAAGAAAAATGTAAACGTACCGCTGGGATACATTTTTAATGTCTACTTTTTAACCATCATTCGAATCTTTTTTTTGCCCCTTTTATGCACTCTGCTAAATCGTGCTCAGCACTTTTTTTTCCAAATGTGTTCAAGAAAAAAAATGGTTGTGTCCCCAGTTTCTAAAAAATAATCTCCGCGGTAATTTATTTTCATCCCCGTAAGCTTTTCACTTTATAAATTCGGTTTTGTAACTTTTTTCATTCTATTTGGAAATTTCAATATTTTTTATATTTTGCATTAAATTATTTATTTATTTATTTATGTATTTATTGACATTGTTAAAATTTCGAAACAAGATTAAGATTTTAACCAGATTAAGTTAGTGTTATAACTTAAAAATATACTCTTTTAAATTTCAGTCAAAAATTGTTTTAGTCATAGATGAGCTGAAAGTAGGATTTATTTTTGTATTTTTATTTGAACGTTTAATTTTCTTTTTAAATTGAAAATGTTTATTCATGAGCTGAAAAATTGAGTGTATGTAAGAAAAACAGTATTTTATTGTGTACCGTGAGTTTATAGGCGACAATGTCTCTTCTTTAGTTGGCAAAAGAGAGGAAAAAAAATCTGTGTGAACTCACGGTGCAGTTCGTTAAATATATATTCACTGAATTTCTCCACGAATTGCGACGAAAGGTGGTGAAACAAATCGTTGAAACGTTATTGAATTTGTGAAAGGAAGAGAGATATTACGAAAAATTTACCTTTATCGAGGGAGCGAGCCAGTAAAATTGTCGGCAGAATCAAAAAGACCATGTACCATGTTAGCCGGTCCCGCATTCTCACAAGTTTGAAAGTCCACCTGCGGAAAAAATTAAATAAAATTGTTATTTGTGAAATAATTAAAAATTATTTACTTAGAATTACTTTACAGACTTCGCTTGATTAAAAGAATTATAAATTATTCTTTTATAAAAAAATTAGTTAAAGGAAGATATGAGCTAAAGCTCATCTCTTCCTTCAACTAATTTTCTTTAAGAAAAGTGTTTAAAAAATAAAGATTTATTTTGAAATTCGAGTTCTGAATGAAATTTGTTAGACGTAGGATTATTCTATTGGCTTAAAATATACAACAGTTTAGTGAAATGTTGACGAGAAAATCAATAGCGTAATTTAAGTTCTTTTCATGTTACAACTATGTGCAATTGACGAATCCGGGAATTGTTAATAAAACTGAAGGGAATCGAATTCTGGAATTGGATTCGTATTTTGCAAGTGGAGAATAAATGACAAGCGTTGAATGAACAAAAGTGTTGTAAAAATGAGACGTTAGAATTTTCGTTTGATTTCTTTATCTCTTTGTCTAGGTGAACTATTTTAATTTGTGGATTTTTTTTTAAATCTGCTGCTATTTTCATTTAATTAAATTTTATACATTTTTTGTATTTATGATTTTAAATAATAATAAGTAACATGTTAAAATAAATGGAAATTATTCATTTCTCAAAAACGAAAAGTATCCGTCTGACTGAAATCTACTTTTACTACTTATACAAGAACAAAAACTGTTCGTCTACCTGAAATCTACTTTTACTAATTATACATAAGCAAAAAGCGTTCGCCTGACTAAAATGTACTTTTACTACTTGTACAAAAACGAAAAGTGACAGTCTTACTAAAATTTACTTTTACTAATTAAATAAAAACTGCAAAGGTGTACCTAACATAAATTAAATTATTCTACTTAAATAAAAACCCCAAAAAATTGTCTGGATATACTCTACTTTTTTTACTTATACAAAAATGAAAATTGTTTGTCTGACTGAAATCTACTTTTACTTCTTATATAAAAACGAAAAATGTATGTCTGACTGAAATCTACTTTTACTACCTAAATAAAAACAACAAAGGCTTGCCTGACTTAAATTTAATTTTGCTACTTTTATATAAAAGCTACTAAAGTTTGTCTGACTAAAATTTACTTTTCCTTCGTTTACAAACATAAAAAGGATCCGTCTGACTGAAATCTACTTTTATTACTTATACGAAGACGGAAAGTCTCCGCCTGACTAAAATTTACCTTTACTCCTTATACAAAGACGAAATGTATCCGTCTCACTAAAATCTACTTTTATTACTTAAGTGCAAACTACAAAAAAGTTCGTTTAAGTAAAACTTTTTTTAAATTTTTGACACGAAAGCTACGTATTTATTTTTTTTTCAAAATTTTTGTCTACTTTAAATCCGTTAATCGATGAAATAAAAAAATTATTCTCAAACAGTTTATTAAAATCTTCTTAGAAATAATTCAAAAAGTTTTTATAAAAGTTCTTTGACATTATTTAGTTATTTTTGGAAAATTTTTAAATAATTTTCGCAAGAATTCAATTATTTTCACAAATAACCAATTTCTATTATACTTTATATCGTCGGTAAAATTATTTTTTGTTGAAACATTTTTGCGTTTTAAAAATATTTAATTATATAAATAGTTTTAAACATTAGTTTATTAATTTGAGTTTTAGAGACATTTGTATAATAAATTGTATCCGGGGGTGCGATTTTGTAATTTAACATTGACTTTCAATTTGACTTTGACATTGGCCTTGATTGAAATTTTGACTTTAACTTGGACTTTGAATTTAACTTTTATTCTCAATTAGATTTTGACTTCAACTTTGACTAGATTTTTACTTTCACACTATCTTTTTGACTATTACTTGAACTTTCACATAGAATTTGACTTTAACTTTGACTTTAACTTTGACTTCCGAGTCGATTTTTACTTTGACATTAAATTTTAGTCCTTAATTTTTACTTTCGATTCGATTTTTATTTGGACATTGATTTTTTGTCCACAACTTTGACTTTGATTTCACTTTAACTTGCACTTTGACTTTCAACGTGATTTATGTCGAACTGAAAATCAAAGTTAAAGTCAATAATCAATGTCAAAGTCAGAATTTAATCGAAAGTCAAAGCTAAAGTCAAAAAGTCAATGTTAAAGTGAAAATCGAATCGTAAGTCAAAGTTAAAGTCAAAATCGAAGGGAAAGTCAAAGTCAAATTAAGGAATTGCACCCCAATTTGGTAATTTGACTTTCACTTTTGATTGTCTTTAACTTTAATTTTGACTTTGAATTTTTGAATTTAACCTTGAATTTCACTTCCACTTTTGACCCTCTCTGTGAACGTCAAAGCGAAAGTTAAAATCAAAGTCCAAGTTACAGTTGAAGTTAAACTTAAAGTTACAGTCAAAGTTAAAATCAAATTCAAAAAATCAATGTCAACGTCAAAGTCAAAGTCAAAGTCAAAGTCAAAGTCAAAGTAAAAGTTTAAGTTAAGGGCAAAGTCAAAATCGAATCTAAAGTCAAAGTCAATGTCAATGTTAAAGTTAAGGTCAAAGTGAAAATCGAATCGAAAGTCAAAGTCAAATTACAAAATCGCACCGCTAGGAATTAAAGTTTAAAAAAAATTAAACTTTGATTCAAAGGAAAAATATTTTTAATTTAAAAAAAACTTTCTCAATCAGTAATAATTTAACTTTAAATTTATTTTCAAAATTTTTTATTTATTAACTTTAAATTAATTGACATAATTCTTAATCCGGGTCAAAATGATCCAGTCCATCAACGAAAGTTGAACTAAAAAGTGTCATAATTTGTCCGTGGTGTAATTTTATTGAAGTTTCTGACTTTTTGGCAGTTATATACAGTAGAAATAGAATATAACTGGGTTGCAAACTCATGAGAGTGAGATTTAAACACGCGATTCTGTACACAATGATATTTTAGAGTTGGCGCGCACTTTATTTTTATCTTTTTTTTCTTTTTTTTGCGAATTTTCCCAGTGTTTGTATGTGTGTGTCTGTATGTTTTCTAGTTTGTGTTTGTATGTCTGTATATTTTCGTCGGATTTTGTCGTCACGACCACAAGCAGATTAGATTCTGCCCAGTTCCCGTCATGAAAGCCGGAAACCGTGTAGCTTGTTTGTTTTATTCTCAGGAGAACGTGCCGCGAATTTGTACATCAAATTACATCGGTTAATATAACAAAAGACGGAAAATAATACAATCAAGTACAAAGGGTCCGTAAAGATTAAATACTTAGCTATATATACACAACTCTTCTAAGTGTGGATATTTTTCTCCGAATTCAACGAATTAGAAAATTGTTACTGTAACGAATTTTTTTGTTAAAAAAAACACATGCACTGCAAAAAAAAAATTTATTTGATTCAAATAACCGATTACTTGACTATTGGCAATTAAATATTTACTTGAATCAAATAATTTTTATTGGAGTTATTTAAAAAATTCAAAATTAGAAAATAAAAATATTGTTGTTAATTATTAAATAAAATAAATGTTAATTTATAAATAAATGTTGTTGTTTGTTGAATAAATAATTTTTATATAATTAAATGATCGAAAAAGAAATTTACCTAATTGGGGACATGAATGCAAATGAGATTATTTTTTTTTAACATTCCAAGTTCTTCGCCGATTTCTTGGAATGATTTCCTTATTTGATTATCCTGATTAAGGAAGCAAGACGGATGTAAAAAAAAGGGGTGGAAAAAAATTACTCGGGTTCGCGTACAGTGAGGGAGCGTTAACTTTTCAGGTTTGAGCGATAGCGGTCATTATGTCAGGCAAATTAATCTCCTTGCAATGGTGGCGAATCAAGTAGAATAAGATTTACGAGAAGATGACTTTTAAAATGAGTAGGAGAGAGAGAGAAAGAAAGAAAGAAGTAAAAGAAGTAGGCCAAGAATAGTGAGAAAATGAGGATTAGTTTCCGGTTAGACTTTGAGGAATAAGCATTACAATGGTATAATCTCATTTCGAGTGTAATTTTACTACCAAGAATTTCTTCTAATTGTCTTCATTCTCAGTTTATAAGCGTCGAGTTACTGTTTCCATTGATCAGCAAATTTTATTTTTAATATTTTTATTCCACAAAATTTAAGAGAAAATTTTTTTTCGATTTTTAATGATTTTGAATCTTAGGACGAATAATTTAACCATACATGACAAAAGATTCTCTCAATTTTTTACTATTTATCCCTTTGATAAATTTGTTTAAACAATTAAAAATTTTATTGTTATTTGATTATTTAATTATTTTATTAATACTTTAGATATTATTATTTTCTTTATTATTTTATATTACTAATTTTAAAAGATTGAAGTATAAAGAGTTTGCTTGAAGATATGAGAATGTTAATAATTGTTCTATATATTGATTTTAGTTTAAAAGTTGTTAATTTGAAAATAAGTGGCGTTGAAACAAAAGGTTTTTTTTTGCTTTTTATCGTAGAGGAGTTTAAGAAACATTCTCACTTGAGAATACTTATTGGATAAGGGGAGTTACAGAACTGAATTTAAGAAGTTTTAGAACTTAAAACGACGACGAGAAATCAATAAACTTTGTGTCCAACGACAACAATAGTTTTAAAGTTGGAAAATTTAATTTCTATCTCATTTCGTGTTTCGTTATTTTAAAGAAAATTTTTTTGTTTGAATGAAAATTATTTTCTATTTTCAATTTGGGAAGAAAAGAATAATTTGTTATTCCTTTCTTTTATAAAATTTTCTGATGGGTAACAAATCGATTCTTTCGACTTATTTTCAAAACATGTAAATTTTTTAATTTTCTTACAAATATTCAAAAAAAATAAATAAATAATAACAATTTTTCTCGTAAAAATGCAGTTTATTTCGATTTTTATAATGCGAACAGTGACTTTCGTAAAATCTTTTTAAACTTGTTTTTGAATAATGCTTTCAAGATAATTAAACTTTTAAAATATATAATTAAAATTGGTCTACAAGTTTTAAACGTTCGAATAGACAAGATA